GCTCCAGCCCCGCGGAGGACGGCCCGTCAGACACGGCTTTGAACTTGCCAGGTCCTTTCAAATCAGTCAAGCCTGTGAAACCGCGTGTCCCCAGAACTCCGGGCACTTCCTAGTCACGGGAAACTTCTCAAAGCATTAGGAGAACTGTCCTCAAATCCACTTCATCTCCCTCCAGAAAGGGTGAGTTAGACTCCTAGAACTTGAATTAGACCTTAAACCTTACACCAGAGCAACAGTGGGTGAACTGGACCTCCTCGGCCACCCCCACCCCAGCCCCTTCTCTCCCTCGTGGGGCATAAAAATCAGACACGACCTGAATGATCGACCCAACTGGCGTCAAGGGTCTGCAAAGCCAGCTGTGCGCTCCCCGGCCCCTGCAAGGTCACGGGCCCTCCCCGACCCGGGATACATCCCCGCGCTCCTCTGCCCTGCACCTGGGCCCGGGCACCCCACCCCCTCACCCTGAGGCCTGCTCGTCTTTCAGCAACCTATTTTTTCTTTCCACAAAGCCCTCCGTCATCGCTGCAGACCTGCTTTCCTGGCTAAGTCCGGCAGCACGCTGGGCCAGGACCGCACATTTGGCAAAGCATTTCACCCCATCCTGGGACATTTCTCACACTGTATGGAGACACAGCTTTACCATTCTGTGTGTTTTCCCGACTAGAATATAAATATCTCATGGGCAGGAGTGGCCTGCGATTCTCTGTAATATTCCACATTGTGTCAGGTTCTGAAGAAATACGGGTGGAACATCCTGTGACTGCGTCCTCGGGAGAGACGCTCCCTTTAGCCCAGAGATGAAGCCCCTCCCACACCCTGCACACAGCCGGCTGCACGGAGCAGCCGAGCTGGCTGGGCAGCGGTGCCGGGCCAGGTGGGGCCTGCAGCCAGGCGGCCCGGGTTCGAGTCCCAGCTCGGCCCCTCTGGGGGTGGGGGAGGTGGGGCGAGCTCCTCGTCTCAGCTGCCTACCTTGCGGGACTTAAGGGCACTTACATCGTGGTCCTGATGAAGATCAAGTGAGTTACAGCACTCAGAGCAGAGTCGGGCACAGACATGCCCTCACGGTGTAGCTGTTGTTTTTGCCAAGGGAAAACAGACACAGACGCCTCGCCCACCCTTTCTCATCCCTTGGAGACCCTCCTGATGGGGCTATAAAGCCCTGGTGACTCATCTAAATCCAGGCGCCCCCGTTCGCCCCGTTCCCTGGGGAAGCTCAAGGCCACGGGTGCTCCAGGCTCTCCCCCGGCCCACGGCCATCACAGAGGTGGAGACAGACACGGGTCAGCACTAAGGTTTACGACCCACCGTTACCCCAGCGAGGCCCAGATCGGAGCCCGAGCCCAAGCACGAGGCGACACTCACCATCCCGGTACCACTCGGCCCGTGGCTGCACCCTCTTCAGTTCCGGCGTCACCAGCAGCAAGCACTTGAGGGTCAGGGTCTCGCCCTCTCTCCGGAAGGTGACCCCAAATTTCTCCACAAACTGCACGTCGAAGTGCATGTATGGAATCACAGGCGACAGGGGCACTGCGGAGCAGAGGGACGCGGTCAGCACAGGAGGGGCTGGCGGACATGGGTCTCCTCCTCCTGCACCCACCTCCTCCAAGGAGCCGCGTCCTGGGGTGAACATCATGCCCCGGGTTCTCATGTCGAAGCCCTGGCTCCCCAGCCCAGTGGCTAGGAGGCGGCCCGCGGGGACGGTTAGGGTTGAATGGGCTCACCCGGGTGGGGCCCCTGGTGGGATCAGTGCCCTGGTGAAAAGCGGAAGAGACCCAGGCCTCCCTCCTCCAGTGAGGGCTCAGAGAGAAGGTGGCTTCTGCAGATGGGACCAGGCCTTCTCCACCCAGGGGGCTCCTTGACCTTGGGCCCGCAGCCCCCGGAGCTGACGGAAGTAACTGTCTGATGCGTAAGCCTCTGGGTGTGGTGTTCGTTACAGCGCCTGAGCTGACCAAGACACTTCTGAAGCATCGGAAGACCAGCTGTGGGGTCGTATCTGGCCATCTCAGCCAAAGGAGGATGGAGGGGCCGGGCGTGCGGGGAGGCAGCCTGGGCCCCGTGTGGTGAGCGAGGGTTTACTTAGATTCTGCATCAGCCCCAGAATCCATGGCCACGGCCGTCAGCACACGGACCCCGGCCAGGAGAAAGGGTCTTTTGAAATATGGTTTTAAAATAATATTTTATGCTGAAAAATACGTATTTTTTAATTACATGCTATGTTTGTACACATTTTTCCACACAAAAAATGAGAACGATCAACTTACACCCGATCGGGAGTCCCACCGAACGGAAGGGCTCCTCGTCGCCTCGGAACCCTGCAAGACAGCCAGCGCTGGTGCTCACGGCGGAGAGACGGGGCGGGAGGGCACCCCCGCAGCCCGCGCGCCCCACCCGAGGCCAACTCACTTCTCACCACCACCGCCGCGTTGGTGGACACCTGCCCGTGCACGTTCGTGGCCACCGCCGAGTAGGTCGCGCTGTCGTCAAAGTCCGCCCTGGGAGGGAAAGGGCGAGACATCGCCCAAACAAGCTGCGTCCTGTTCTCTAGGAGCCGGTGGCCCCAACTTGCACACAGCCCCCCCCGAAAGTGGCTCGTGTGGCCTGGAGCCCTCGGTCACGAGTGATCGGGTCTGGAACAGTGCCAGCTCTGTCCTCGAACGAGGTGTTAAGTGTAGACGCGGGAGAGGTCAGGGCCCAGGCCGCGGCTTGGCTTCGGCTTTGCGGGGAATAAACGCACTGGCTCCCCTGCAAAGCGCCGTTTCACTCTCAAGGGGAAGCCTGTCTCCCCTCTGGTTCTGTTTTTCCACGTCTGCAGAGTTCCTAGGTTTATCTCGTCAAGGGGCAGCTCCAGGGGACACAGCCTCCTGGAGGGTTAACCCCACCTCCCTCCCCTGGGTTCCCACGTGCAGACCCCAAAGCAGGGTGGCCCCCTGTAGAGAGTCCCCACTTGAGGGCAGCATGAAAGCCCCTGGACCGACCCCGCCTGAGGCTCCCAGCGTCTGGGGACGCGTGTTCTCCCCAGAAAGGACGATGACGCAGGAACTGCAAACCCCTATCCCCCAGGGGTGGGCTCCTCCACCTCCCCCGTCTGTCTCACGGAAGTCAAAGCTGTGAACTGTCTTCCCACCAACTTCCCCCAGAACTTCACAGACAAGAGGGGTGGGGAGGGGCTGAAGTCTGTGGGGCCCCTACTAAGCGCTGGCGCTCTGCCCGTGTCTCACGTCGGCTACTTTGTGTGAAAGGCTCAAGAGCCTGGCGAGACAGTGCCAGGACCCCGCTAACGCGGTGGGACAGTCGACCCTTTAAGAAGTGGGTAAACACGGTCCACAAAACCCCCAAATCTGCAGCTTTCTGCTGCTTCTCCAAGAGTAAGCATCACGGACACAACAGACAAATACAAATACAGGGAAAGCAAAGTTACTCAAGCCTC